TAGGGAGGTACATTGAGGAGGTCATTTATCGATTTTCTCAAGAGTTTTCTCATCAAATTTGAAAAACCGAAAAAAAAAATGTACGAAATATATTATTAAAATATTACAATTTTTTTTTCTTTTGCACAATTTTTCTATCAGCAATTTCGCTCCAACTTTTGTGATAGCAATGATTCTAAAATAAAATTTCACTAGCAAGGTACTTAAAAAATGGCCACACTGGCGCGGCGATGACAATTAACAAACAAGTACCAAAAATATTATGACGATGAAAAAACAATAATAATTATTAAAAAAAAAAATACGAAAACACAAACGAGAGCAAACAATATGATTACATAATAGTATAATACTTATATTATTGAGTACTGGCATTGCACAGCACAACATTTTTCAAATCTCCAACATCGTCATAATAATGAATATATATATGATAACCAATAGCCATTCGATAGGATGGCATGACGGGCCCATGCCATTTAGGGGCCTTTAATTAAGGCTAAGGCGTTATTTTGAGTTGTAAGTATGAAAATAGGCGATGAATCTTTTTTTTTTCGCTCCAATTTGTATAAATCAGGCCCCAACTAGGATGGTGCACTTGGTCCTCGATTCGGTTGATCTAGAATATTTTACCGCGGGCATTACAGTTCCTAGTTACGCCACTGATGATAAAATATGATAAATGGATAAATAATTAATAAAATATAATTATTTTCAAGTGGTTTCTTATGTGTTTTCAATGCGTAATTGGCGCTGTGTAAAAACAGGTTTCCCAAAATCTCGATTGATTAAACGCCGAAATAACAAACACAAAAACGTGCTTCAACACTCATAATATAATATTACAGCACAACAAATAATGCAAGGCCGTACTCATGAAGCCATAGGTAAGTAGGTACTTACTTGTGCTCAATGGTATTTTTCGTTCCTTGAAGATAATATAATATAATAATTTACGACATTGGAATACTCGAATGATATTTTGTGATGTATTTTTATTCGACTCGTGTACGTATATTATCATAATAATGTTATATAATTATGCTAGTTATTTTATTATCAAACGTAAATTATTTAAAATAATTAAAATTGTTAAAATGCATGACGTAGGTGATCAAATATTTTGGGGGGCTCCTAAGCCACCCCCGCCTATTTTCGCCAATAGAATTATCTACATAGGTAACAATTATTATTGCCTACATAAAATATGCATATAAATTTATAAATATAATAATTAAAGTAAGTATCTCAAGTGTCGTCTGGTGCAGGACTGCGATTTCAGAATTCAGAAATCTATTATTTTCTAAGATTAAAATATGGTTATTTGTATGATACGATTACCTATGCAAATTCGTATTATTCTTTTTACAATTTTTGTTGTCTGTCTGTTTTGTCTGATGTCCCTCCGTCCGTTTTTATTTTCACTCATTATACAGAATCGTCTATTACAACAAACTAAGTACCTGGTACCTACTAAAGAGTAAAGTTTACTGAGTACTGACTATTATTTAACAAAAAATTAACCGGCGTCATCATACATGTTAGAAGTTGATAAAGGGCACAACAAATTTTGATCATAAGCACATAAAACACATACCTCGAACATAGAACAAACAAGATATTGTTTGAGACCGCACTTTAAAATTTGGCGGTAATAATGTAGTAATTTGGAGCAATAAAGGATATATATTTATCTAAAATCAGATAATCGTTTATATGATCGGTTAATAAATAATAAAATAACTTTAATTGAATATTTAAAAACTCTTGGATCCAAATTTATTCAAATCTAAATACTAGTCAATTTTATTTTAGTTTAATTTGATTTTAATTACGACGATTTATTTAATAACAATAAATATTGTACCTATACCACATTTTATACTACTCAGAAAATTGTTTAATGAAATTTTGAATTTGAATTTTTTTTTATTGAAATTTGTCCGGACTGTTTTATTTTATAACTTATAAGTAGCAATATTTGTATTAATGTACTTACATGATAATAATATCTTAAATATTAAAAAATTAAGTGAAATTCTATAATAAATAAACAATTATAAACTAATCCTAAATTAATTTTTTGAGTTTTGGAATATATTTACCCTAAAAAATCAAATATAAACATTTCGGTGAAAAAACCGGTGACTGCATCTTAACAATAGACAAAATGTATACGGTATTAATAAAAAAAATTGTGCAGAATTGAGCGATGACTTTTTTTATGAAATTGTGCAATTAGGGTGACCGTCGAAATATTCTTTTAGCATTGATAATTCAGACCCATTTTCACCGTTCTCGAGAAGGGAACTATACGCCTTTTATCCTTAACCGTCATTTGTCTCCAGTTAATTTAAGTAGCTTAGGCAAAAACTGTGTAAGCATCTTTATACCATGATATGTTAATACACAATATTAAAACAGTTAACAATATTTATAAAAAACTAAAAAAAAAAGGTAATACATAATATTGCAGTGTAGTTAATTTATTATGTATTTACGGTAAGTCATAAATTCATGATGAAGGTATTAAAAATTCGTATTATTATTAGCACTACAGTTAATTAATAACTTACTTGATAAATATAATTTTACTTAAAAATACTAAATTTTTTTATACGCCAACAAATTACAATTATTTATAAATTGTAAACTATTAAAAACATATGTAATAAACATTATTAAATATTTAGATTATTAAACAGGTAGGTATACTTTTACTTCCTACCTTAAAATATCCGAAGGCAATATATACGTTTTCCGAATTGTTGTCTGCGGGTAATACCAATATCGATTAGCTAAAAAAAACATCATAAATAATTTAATACTAGGTTGCATAACATAAAATAATATGTGCATAAATGAACAATTATCTATGGGTAATAATACGCTATAACAATAAGTCCTTCGTCCTTATAATATTGATTTTCACTCTGTCCACATCACACATATAATACGTACGACATACTAACATAGGTAGTAGAATAATATTATCGTCGTAACTCGTTAGTATAGATAGGTATAATAAAACTTTTCTAATATTACTCCTATAAATATTATAACTTATGTATAACTTGAGCGAAAACAAAATTATAATGTTTAAGTTTGCTTAGGTACTTTTAAAACTAATACTTATTATTTATTTTAACGATCCGTTAAAAACTATTTCTATCAATGCACATATATATCATGTATCATTGTTACTAATGTGACTGTTAAATAGAGTATTCGAATGTATTCATCCGAAAGTTATCACTAAATATTTACAGTCATAAAAAAAAATTATAGAATATGACGTATCGTATGATTCTTCGAATAATTAAATTAATCAACATCGCTCATCGATGGGAAATTTTTTTGTAAGATGCATCATGAATTTAACTTTAAATAATGTAAATTTATTGTCACAAGTCTTGTAAAATATTCGAATAAAAGTATTTTAATAATATTCGAGATACTTTTGAAAAAATAGGTACATTTTAGATTAGATTCTGAGTGAAGCGAAGAATGTATTGGTTTTACAGAGATATTTATTTTTCTTTTATAAGAAAACTTTTTCTATCAAAAAGCTTTCTTCGATGTATACAAAGTAGACTCTTTTCTGAAAGGTAATCTGACAGGTAAGGTACTTTAGAGAGGTAATTTTCCCAAGAGATTTCTCAATAAATGTGAAACACTGAAAAAAACTAAGGAAAAACAGGAAAATGAACGAAATGTAGGTATTAGTTAAAAAAAAAACGGTTTTCTTTTTTCCTATAAATAATTTTTTTATCAGCAATTTTGCTCCAATTTACAATGATAGATAGCACTTTTTCTAAAAGGAAATCGAATTGGGGAGGTACTTAAGGTGAGGTCATTTTTTGATTTTCATAAGATTTATCAAAATAAATGGGAAAAATGGGTACAGTATTAAACAAATATTATTAAAGAAAATATATAATGCATATGCAATTATTTTACCATAATATATATATATATATATATTGTTGACAAAGCGTCACTATCAACTGAACTCCGCTCAGAATCGTTTTTTGTTTGCAATGGTTAATCATTGCTAACAGATAAACATTAAATTACCTAAGAACCTTTAATAATCACTGTACCCGTTCCTATTATCCTCGGACAGTTTTTTTTATTTAAACATTCTTTTTGTAAAAAACACCGAATACTGCTACCGTTTCAGATAGATTTATAAACTATAATAGTTCATATGATAGTTTTAGGTTAGTTTATAGGTCTATTGTTTATTTTTTTACTCATAACAAAAAAGAGTAAAAAAATATTCAACTGAGCTGATAAGAAATAATTTCTTGTTTATTTGCCAGACTTAGTTAAGCTATATACTAATCTATGGTCAAGCATTTGCTTAAATTTAAGGGTATTTGACAATATAGGTGGAGCAATTGCATTATCATTCTTAATAATGAAATCATTGGTTAATATATAATAATATTATGATGATATACCTATGATGTTGAATACACCACAAATTACCGTTCGGGTATTTCTAATGTAAACTATTACATTTAGTACTTATATTCTCTTCAAGGAAAAAAAAGGTCTGATAACTACTATTGCATTAATACAGGTGGGAGGTAAGGGGATATAGTGAATAAAAATCTTGAATGAATCGTGCTTTTCTTCGTAACATGACCGAAATATATGCATTTCGATATTAGATTACTTAGATATTTGTTTGTATTTTTAAGTCAATGGGGGAGGGGAGGTATAATCCCAACCTCCTTCCCCCTGCGCAAGCCACTGAACAAGAATAAACACATCAATCAATATTTCAATACCTACTTTAGTTTACCTACCTATATCTATACAATATAGTAAAGAGGTCATAAACAAAATTTTATCTAAACGACCAATCGAATTTGTTTTAATGTATGCAGTTATAAAATACATTACAATATTTTTACATGCCCTCCAACCTTTTTTTGTTATAATGATGTTTGTTCATAAATCATAAAACTGTGCATTATACCTTATAGGTTAGGAATAGCTAAGGTGCATAACTACAATATTGTTGGTTTAGTGTAATAGTGCATTTTTATTGGTTTGTCATACACAATAGTACCACGCGGTGATATTAAACACTGGAATCCAACAAAACACTGATTAACTAGCAAAAAATGAAATATAAAATGTTTTCTTTGACTGCGATATTGCTAAGTAATATATTTTCTTAAAATATAACATAAGTACTATCTATAAGCTATAGGTACTAATTCAGAACCACAGATCAGGTAAGCAGATTCTATTTATTATTTCTAAAACTTTTAGTATTTTAATGGATAGCTCTTATACAAATTATTAACTATTATTACTCATCTATTTGTTTAATTTATTTACAAATGTCATTTTAATTTTTTCATCATTAAAATTTACACTTTTTTCGGGAAACCTGAGTATTGGTACTGGTACCTTCCTATTTGAATTGGCATCTAATTACTTTTTTTTCACCATTATTTATTGACACATACAAAACCCAAAATAATTTGTTTTCTAAAAATGATTGTCAATAAGGTACCACTAATAATAATGTGCCTATACTTAATATATATATATTTCCTTGTATAATGACACTGCCTCTATATATAATATCATAAATACTTTCCCAAGAAGAAATTTTTACTTACGCCCTATATGTCTTGTTGTAGGTAAAGTAACCAATTATATGTAATGTGATGCTTATCTATTCAGTATGTTATAAGGGTGTTTACCTCGAGAATACATAAGAAATTAATAACATCTACATATTTTAGTTTATATTCCATATGTACCAATTAAATAAAAAATATGGCTCGGGTACCCATTTTGATCAACCATCACCCATTCATTAAAAGGGTGGCAACCATCATCCTCGACTGCTGGTTTCGGGGACACTGATTCTGATTTAATCAGAATCTTTTAACTTGTAATCAGATAGTAATTTTGAACAGTTATAGACTTTTCACTACTTGCTTAATGTATAGGTTGAAATACCTATATATTTTATCCTAAGTGGTAGACGATGCAGTGCAATTTGTGTCCTAATCTTATAAACTTTAATACTGCTAAAATAAATTAATAATAAATAAATTATTATTGTTATAATTATTTAATTTTTTATATAACTGTACAATTGTTTCAAAGAACTTAAAAAAATATATTGATTAATGTGAAATAATTCAAAATAATTTAACATAATAAAAGGTCACAATGATCGTGTTAGAAATGTCCTTATGATTTTTTGCTACTTGGAAAATGTACAACCAGGGCTTGCAAAGTGTTTTAAACAAGTCTCTATATTTGAAATTGTATACATAAATATTTAAAACGTTCAAAAATACTAACTTATATGTTCTGAAAAATGAAAATGAACAGTAACTATTACTTTTGGATAAAAAATTAAAATTTTTCAAATTACTTATTTTGATCAATAATAATTATGATGTAAAATTAACTTTTATTATAATATGATGTTTGTAAAAAAATGTGGGTTTTTTTTCAACTCTAATTACAAATTTCGATAAATTAGTAAATGATATATAATACAATGATTTTTAAATTATGCATATTTTCTATTATTGTTTTCAAATGAAACAAGTACACTAATTCATCTTGAAATTTACATTTTTGATTCCATCAAGTATTGCAAAATGTTATGTGACCTCATAGTTAACTTTGTAGACCATTAAATTTAAGTTCTGCTGTATTACAATATTGATCGTTAAGTTAAATTATCTATTTAATTAGTTTTTGTAAATCTAATTTATATTTGTTCAATTAGTTGGACCACATTGAAGAAGAGAGGTATTGCTGTATTTAGTGCAGGCAAAATAGATTGTCTAGTTATTACTCCTTAAAATTAGATATAATCTATAGTTTTAAAACTATAAAGAAAATTTGATTTGTTTTGATTTTTCTAAGTTTTTTTCAATACTAAATTTAATTTTTAATTTGGATTGTTTATTTTTTTTTTGACAATAACAGCCGTGGCTATCATTTAGGTACCATTTTGTTTAAAAAATTATTTATATCTTTATAAGGAATAAGACACTAATCATTTGAGCATAACATATTGATGATTATTGATTCTTTTAAAATAGGCTAATTTATATTTATTATATTTTTTTAATAAAAAGCAAGGTTTTGGTTTAGTAGATTACAAACAAATATATATTCCCCCCACAAAAAAAAATAAATATTTACTCATTACTAAATTGTGAACTATGACGCACAAATCAAATCCTAATATAAATTATTCCTTTTAAATAGTTGAATCTTACACCATCAATATAACAATTAATAAAATATTAACCATGCAAGTAAAATATTTTAAATTTTATAGAAGAACCAAGAACCTAAGTAGCATGCAAAATATTATTAAATTGTTCAATTTTTGAGATCAAAAATAATTGAGAAATACATATTATACATTAATTTGTTATGAAATACTAACAATAGATATAATAAATATATATGTTTAAAAAAATATAAATTATTTTGCAAGAACTTAGTCAATATAATAACAATAATACTAATAATTAAAAAATTAAAATATAATTATATACTATGAAATTATTAAAATTAGATTGGATTATACATATGGATATAAATTATAAATTGATTAAAAACAATATAAGTCACAAGTAATTACAAGAAAATACAAGTAATTGATTGGTAACAATATCCTATCATAATTTATATTTAAAATATATTATTCAAGAGATAATCAAAAGTATAAAAACTTAATTCTTTATATTGATTGAATGACTAGTAGTAATAATTACTTGTCCAAATATGTATGCAATCATCAGGAAAGTTTATATTTTAAAACAACATAAGTACATATTTTTAAAAATAAAAATACAGCTGTAATGTACCCAATGCTGGTCCAAAATATATTGTCACTCATACTGATATCTTTGAGAACAGATTCAGGTGAACCATTATAACAATAAATCTAAAATATAAACATAATTATCATTATTAAAAACAATATTATAACAGTAGGTTAAAACATTTGCTAAATAAAGTATTCAAATTTATTTGTTTGAAAACACTGTAAAATTAAGTTTATAAGACTATTTTTGTTATGCAATTGTAAATAAAAATTTTAAAGTGATATATTTAAAATATGTTTATGAAAATACAGAGTAATGTTTAATTGAGAAATTTCATTCAATAATTGGTTTAGTTATATTTGTATAAACGTCTAGAATTATAAAATGAGAGTATATCAATTAAATATCTGAATATTTCAATTTTTCGATTGTGTGTTAAATAGTCTTAGTAGCATTAGGAATTCCAGTTAGAGACCATGAAATTACTGCCAGGAATCCCTGCACTTTCCCCACCAAATTCAAATTCAATTCGTTATTTGGGAGCTCCATAAATTACTTTTTAGGATTCCAGAAAGGGACTTAATAGGGATCTGGAATTCAAATCATAGGATAGGATACAATTTATGAATAGTTAACTTACTTCTGGACATGGTAATATAGACCTTTTGAATCCATATATAGCATGCAAAATACCTTGCATAGAATGTTTCAGTAAGGATATATCATAAATCCAACTATACACTTTAGGAGTGTCTTCTATGCGTAACATAATGCCCGCAAATATGGTCAGTGGTAGTATAATTGAAGATATAACAATAGTATTTATCTGTAATCAAAAATGGTATTTTATAAACTTAATATTCGGTTTATAATATAATTATACTTACAAGAAAATTCTTAAATAAAATTGCAATTAACATGCCAGTTGCTTGAGACATTAAACCAGTTACAATCAACATTAAAAAAACCATCAGAAATCGGAATAATTCAATTGGTTGTCCTGTCATTAAATAGATCACTATACAAAATAATCCTGTAGATATGATCTGAAAATATAGAATAATTAACTATCAAATATATTTTTTTATTAATTTCCATTGAGTACAATAAATGTACAAGGTTTTTTATTTGTATGTAAATAATGTATATACATGTGTATAATGATATGTATGCGATTTAATTTGGGTACAAGTTAGGTTTAAAATATAATTTGAAACATCAAACATTTTAAACTTTATTTAGTTTTCATTTTTCATGAATACCTAATTTCTAAAAGAGAGTATTCCTGAAAAAAAAAATGTTTGAAAACATATAATAGAATGGCTGTTTGTACAATTAATACCTATTCATCATTACTTCTTTATGTATATAGTTATTATGTTAAAATACACGGTTAATTGCTTGTTTAGATTCTAATTATCTATTAATATTTTACATTTTGAATGTGTATATTATTAAGTTTTACTCAAATAATAATCATAGATAACGTTGAAATAATATTATAATTAGTTCCTGCTCACCTGTAAAGGTAGATCCATTAATGTTACGCAAGTGTAATATGAACGAAGTGAATACCATTGGTTAAAATATTCCAACCGCATAAGTAACAGTTCCATAGGGACTAAAATATATGTAAAATATAAATTAAATAAAAAATAGATCATACACAAAGTAATAATAACTTACATTTTATAGACATTGAATAGGCAGAGAGGTAAACAATGGTCATCATGCTGAAATATAACATTACTACATTATCTCGTGTATACAAACCACTTTTTCCAATGTTGAAATATACTGAACCAAACAAAAAACTCATTACGAGAGGTACATATATCCTTAAATAGATGAAATCCTAAACAAACATAATGAAAACACTAGTGAAAAAAAAAGATAAGGGAAAATAATATATATATTCTATAGACTTCTATTGAAGTAATATACTATTAGTAATGGATAAAATAAATTATATACAAATTAAATTATTAAATTTTTAGCTTTTTTTAACTAGAATACCTCTTATTAAAGATGTAAAATACAAACACTGTCTCTAGATGAGATGATTAATGTTCTACTAATGAGTATTCGGAGTTCATTGATATATTTTGAGAGTGATTTATGACGAGTATGCTTCGAATAACAGTTTACCATTTGATCACCAGCTATGCAAAAAAAAAAAAAAAAATAATACAATTTTATATTGTATTCAGCAACTATTTTCAATTTCAACTTACGTTCATTAATATAATTTTCTTTGCTCCACTTATTTGATTTTCCATTATCAATATATTTAACAAGAGTTTCGTTGTGATCACCATATTCTCCACAACTTACTTCAATGACTGAAAAATAAAAAAAAAATAATTAATAGTTTAAATTATTATTTTATTCTATACATGCACAGCAGTATGCAGTATATGCATAAGTGTTAAACATACCAAAATCTGCAGGATTATGATGTAAAGGGCACTGAAGACCAATAGATGATAAATAATTTATTAGGTTTGATGATTTTCCATGATATATACATTGTCCGGTAGGCGACAATATATATAATGAGTTAAACATTTCCAATTGCAAAGCAGATGCTTGGTGAATAGTGCATATGATTGTCTTACCACAGTTAGCCAAGTCTTTTAACATAGATACCACATAATTAGCAGATACCACATCTAAACCTCTAGTGAAATAATTACAGTATTATTTTAATAAATTAACAGAAATAATGTACAAATAAATAAATAAATAATATATATTTATATTTACGTGGTTGGTTCATCAAAAAACATCACTTTTGGATTACGAATCAACTCTATTGCAATAGACAGCCTTCTCCGTTCACCACCAGATAATTTTATTGAAAGAGTATTTTCTTTATCAGACAATTTTAAATTGTCCAATATTCTTTTGATCTGAAATATAATTTAAATGTTATTAAAGTATTACCAAACCAGTTCTGAAATTTAGTATTTTTAAATAATATTTTCATATTATTAATTCATATTATTTGATAAAATTTTAGATTTGCTTTGAATATTAATTTAATTTAAACTACATGCAATGAATCGATTTTGTTTTATAGTTTATAATAATTTTATAATTTCAACCTATACACTTTTAGTATTTTTAAATATCTAATGAAAAGTAAAACCAAACACGTTTTATGATTCACAAATAATTTTTAATAGAAGTTAGGTACCTATGTGCCTAATTTTCATAGTAATTTTATTATTCACAATATTTCTATAAATTATTATAATTATAAAAATGTATAATAAATTAATATATTTATATTATTTTTTTTATAAATATTTTAGCTAGGTAGTATACATAAATATGTCATTCTTACCAAGATTTGATGATATACTTCAAGTTTTATTGTACAACTTCTAAGTTTAGAAGCTATTTCCATTAATTCTAAAACTGTTAAATGGGGTTGTAAGAGATCTTCTTGCATTATATAGCTCAATTGCTTTAAAAACAGTTTTCGATTTCTAGGTTGTCCATTGATGTTGATATTTCCCCTGTACCCGTATGTACTATAAATAAAATATTATTACTAACCTATTAATAAAAAAATAACTTAAGTAGTAGGAAAATATGTTATACTTGTAACCAGATAGGAAATTCAACAGTGAAGACTTGCCGGATCCAGAGCATCCTATAATAGCGCAAGATTGTTTCCTCCAGAATGTGCCACTGACATTTTTTAAAATTCGTTTTTTCACTGGAAAAAAAAAATCGTTTTTGCTGTTGAATTGCATATTTTGTAAATTTATTCGACACAATATTCTAATGTGGTAGGTACCTAAGTAAATTTAATAATAGGTGTTTAGATATGGGTACCTGGACAAAATATCCTGCCCGGGGTCCATTCGGTGACTGTATACGAGACGTCCGAGAATTCTATGTCGATTCCTTCACGTTCACGGTCTTCTATAAGTTTGTCCTGTGGATGGTGGTGGTTCATGTTTTCGTTTCGGTAATAAATGTACGGCGTAGATACGGTTATTGAAGGTTTAGTTTAGGACCATCGATGAGACCAACACTCGAAATAAAAACAGTGATGGTAGCTGTACCCTTTGTATACGGTTTACACCTCAGCACCGACACGATATTGTTTCTGTTTTTCGATTTTTTTTTTTTTTATATATCCCCTGCAAGAGAACTCGGTCGATGTTGACACAGATGTGCGCGCCGTGAGTCGGCGGCTAAACGACTCGGTGAGACGCGGAAGATACGCGGAGACTCTTTTTATAGCCCCGAAAATGTTGTTCGATGAAGGTCGGCCGAACACGGTACGCGCACGCGACACCGACGGTGCAATGTAAATTGCAGTCTATATTATACAGAGCGTTCCAAATAATCTTTCCCCGCGGTCGTTGCGTTCTTCGCGTAGGTTAAAACAATTAAAACAATAATAATGACGACACGGCGCAACATGCGGCGGTATTTATCGGTGCGCTGCGTTTCGTCGTTTAACGGATGCCCGCAAATGCCGCGGCACCACGAACGACAATGACGATAATTATTACGGACGGTGCCGTCGTGTCGTCGGCCACGGAGGGACGGTTCCGTTAATTCCATGATTCGAAAACGGCGGCGCGGATAGAACGAGAAAAAAAAAAAACTAATGCCACCACCAACCCAAACAGTCACTGCAGAGACGGCGGCTGTGGTACGTGCGGCGGGCGGTGACGGAATAAACGACGGCGGCTATCGGGTCTAGGCGAGCAGTACAATAACATCACTGAATAATAATGCGTTAAACGCGCACTATAGATTGTATAGGGTGTCGGTTCGACTATGGCTGCAGTCTCTATAACTGTAGTTGTCTCTTTTCACCGCTACTAAATATTGATATTTTATTAACGTCCGGAATTTAACGTGGGCGCGATAACGGGAGCATGTGAACATAATTTTGATAAGGAAAAATCGATACGCCTACGGTGTTTTCGCGGGCGCCAGGCTTCGGGACGAGGGCACGCGGCGATAGTATACGCACTCTACGGGGTCTCGCACGGAACAAAATACTTAATGTGCACGTCCTTTCATTCGTTTTCAAAATGCTGGTGACGGCTACATCGTTTTATTCGCGAAGCCGAAAACGCGCATATATATGCATACGTATGCATAAATTATTTCAAGTAATTAATATATATATATATATATATTATTAACACCAGTGACTCGCGCAGAAGGGGACAGTAAGGATTATATCCCCCTCTCCACCGGCTCAAATATACAAAAAAAAAAAACATCAGTAATCTAATATCGAAACGCATACATTACAGCTAAGTCACGAGGAAAAGCTCTGATGCACTGATTAGAAATTGGCTTCTTTTTTTTCTTCTTAGAATCCGACTTTTAAATTACCAATTCCCATAGTCGAATCGGGTAGAGAAGACGGTTTTACACTTTATTCGCGGTTTTTATTTGATACATCCTCTCCCATTGTGAATTCCTGGGCACGCCACTGAATACCACGATGTATACATAGAGATTGTTTAACACTTTATACAGTGATTTAATATCTATACAATCTACTCGTGAAATGATTAATGACTGTGTACATGTTATTATACGTGCATTATAATATGCATAGTTGTTTAGGTGACAAATGTATTTTACCGCGTACACTTTGCGATTTTCACATTTTTAGTAACTCATAAAACAATAGACGGTTGTGATTTAGAACTTGACGTTTCAATAATATTCGATAAAAAATTATTGTTACAATAATATTTAATAATTATCATCTAGTGTTTTTCGACAAATGCGCCGACATAATTATTACGATAACTATTTAGGCGGAACATAATATACGATAAGTATCGTATGTATATGCGTATTATTTATTAGCATACGAGATGAACAAAAATTAAACAACGATAAATCACAATAATTATTGTTGTAGACATTATATGCGCATTAGTTCGTAGTCTGAACATTTTGTTATATAATTTCGCATTCTTTATAAACCATATTATCGTACCTACCTATTCAAAATATCAACTGTGAAGAAATTGTTAATGAAATCGTCAATCGCTATTTGAATTCTAAATGCTTATAAACGAAATTATTACTATAATTTTTTGGTATAATATGTTTTAGTTTGTTCGGAATTAATTAGTGAATATTTAGATACCTATAGAGTATAGTGTACACACTATACCTATAATTACCTAGGTACTAACATATATTAACTATAATAATAATATTTTGTTCGTAGGTATAGATCGTTAAACTGTTGGGTGTACTTTTAGTAAATATCCACTGCGTGTTCACTCCCCCACTCTTAAAAAAAGCTTCATATATCCCAAATCGCTCACTTGTAGTGGGCGAAAACCTAAAATAATCTACATTTTTTTTTAATCGTATCCAATTAAAATAAATTACATTCTGGTTTTTAATAACTGTGGTGTAAATTCTAAATCATATTCTATATGGTAATACTCAATAGTCAATAGGTATAAGTAATTACTGGGTAATAGGTATTATACAAAATTATAAAAAAAAAAGGCAAACATTCTTTGTAATATTGAACTTGTTTAGTGAACAGGTTTGTTTTTATTTTTAGGAGCGCGAACGTTGTTTTTTTTTATAGTTTACCTCCATTTATATCCTCAACCCTGTCCCAATGGCTTTTATTACCTCATTATTGGATCCTAAATTTGTAATTTTTTTATTACGATCCATATGGATAACTAAGGGACTGTTATCCTGTACAAATGTCAAGAATATTATCTAACTAGCCAAAAATAGTAACACTTAAAAATAGACATTACAATTATAAACAAAATGCAATGTAGATTTTTTAGGGAATATTTCCCATTTAAATCTTTTATAATAGATATATTCTCAAATCTGGAATTCTTACTTGACAGCGGTGGCGCCGAACCTAACCGCTGAAATTAGGTGTGTCGACTAATGTATATCTCTACGCTACGATTTATCAATAAAAACTATACTGAACAGAGTTTGGTTGTAGGTACATGGTTTGAAAGGTCTTAGGTAATATTTACTATTTTTGTCAAAATTTGATATTAAAATTCTTATAAAAAAATAAAATACTACATTAAACTCAACATTTTCTCGTAAGCCACTAATTACAATTTACAACGAACCTCCTGTTAAATTTTCAAGCATTTCCGTTTGGTCTAACAATTTCATCAAACGAATACCTACCGTATAAAAGTTATGGCAAAAACTCTCAAAATTATAATGTTTATAGCTCAAAAATGGCTTAAATGTTTTTAAAATTTTACTACTTTTACAAAATGTATAAGCTCTCTGTCTAAATTTCAAGTTTCTACGAATATTTTTAATTGAATCATAACAAAAAAACAAAATTTAAAATAATCAAAACATTATTTTCATAAATTTTCCCGTTCTTTCTACGTTTTTTTTGCAGTTTGTTCAATTATTCTGAAAAAAAAAAAAATACACGGCAAATCAAAAAACGATTTTCTAACTTATCAACTAAATTAAGAATTTAATAAAAAAAAAGGTCTTCAGTCGTTTTTATATTGGAACAATATTTATATGTTAAAAGGAACAAAATCGATCTCTTGAAATTTTTTGATTGGAGCAATATTTCTGATAGAAAATTATATCATGTATACTAATTTAAAATAACGATATCTAATCTATAACCTAACATAACGCCTTGCTGCACTGTAAATATTTGCCGTTTTACCAATAATTTTCTTACACGACTTAGGTTTAACACCGTGTAGTGGTAGGTGGGTATACATCTAATCTATAACCTAACATAACGCCGTGCTGCACTGTAAATATTTGCCGTTTTACCAATAATTTTCTTACACGACTTAGATTTAACACCGTATAGTGGTAGGTGGGTATACATTTACGTTTATTGCCACACATATAAACAATTAGTTCGGCGCCACTGCTTGAAAATAAAAAAAAAAACGACTGCATTATTTCTTCTTGAGGATATTATGATGATACTATGTCGGATTGATAAAAGTGGAGGCCCATTGAAATAATTGACCCATTCTAAGGAATGGAGGGGGAAGTAGTTCTAAAAATGTTCAAATAATATTGATCTAACAAATAATGTTCCATGTTTTTTTTTTTTTCGGAAACGAAACGATAGAGAACGATAAATATGTCGTCAGTATATTATAAAACTCACACGAAGGAAAGTGAATTATTTTTAGAAATGTCTGACATTGTTTAAATGGTATAGAGTGATATGCATGATTTTTAACTATAATATACCGCTTGCACTGAGACAAGAAATCGGAATCAATTATTTAATATACCTATATACCTATTGTGCATAATTTTATACAAACGCACACAAAAATTGCAATATTCAGCTGCATGTATTTTCGATTGTCTAACTATAATAGACATTATTTATTTTTTTTTGAAATTTGAAATTTATATATTATCTCATATAGCTTCGGGCACTATATAAATTACCACAATGTAAATTTAGCAAAGCTTCCTTTCGATACACATCAACGACAGTAAAATTTAGCTCACAAAATATTAATATAGGTACTATATTAATATATTATGTAGGAGGAACTAATAGCTGACGTTTCTGAAAAAAAAAACTTTTATTTAAGAATTAAAAAGTTCTAATCGAAAATTAAATAACCCTTAACTCTTAGTCTTTTATGTCAAATATTTTAGTTTTTTTTTTCTGAACACCCACTTTATATTTTTAATAAGTTCTACTATGTAGAATAGAGAATAATAGAATGGGAAGCTGTTTGAAGTTTTTGAAATGGGTAAGTTCGGCAATCTGTCAAACAGGTAAGTAGTGAGCGAGGGCATATAATATCAACCCATGACTTCTTCAATATTTATTACATATCATGTTACCTATAACCCGTATTAATTTAAAAAATAATAATATTGAGTAATGCAAATAATGATAATTGTTGAAAAATCAGTCTCATTTCGTTGTGACAAAAATCATTTGACCGTCATTGGGTAAGCGTATTTATACATTTAGTATTATATTATTTAACTAAACCGTGCTATGTAACAATACAATTATTCTATTGTAAAACTAACGTTCACAGGTACAAAACGTGAGAAATTCAGAACTGTTCTTCGTGATGAAAACGAAATAATTTACACAGACATGACCACTTACATATATCTACAACCGTATATACAGAAATTATATACAGTATACAGCGTGACCAAATGAACGTTCTGAAAATCGTTTTCATAATATTGCTATCGAGTTCATTAGAGTTTATAGTAAATTTGTAATTTATTATGCCAGTTTCACTGTAATTTAGTTATTTATGTATACACCGATTTTGCATCCCGATCCGACGTACAGACGTGCGTTAGTATAAATATATAATTACAACATTATAATAATATATTAAGTTATAGGCCTTGAAAATGTACAAACACGTTTATTATAAACACGTGGAGAATCTACATAATATGTGTACACCTATATATTTTACACGTTATACATATTACACGCATTGCATACTGTGAAAACGACCTAATATGGTTCCGGATAGTATATATTTAAAAAGCTAATTTATAATAAAAAAAAAAAAAAAAAACGATAACAAAAATTATGACTGATATTTCACACGGTGAGTGGACCACTGTTGTAGGCTATAGGTGTGCAGAAGTTGGGAAGGTATAGGATGTAGAGGGGAATATATCGATGGTGTTTTATTAAAACGGGGCGTATTTAAATACAGAAAATCAAGTTGTTAATGTCGACTAAAAAATATCCAGGCGCCCTTTTAAAATATAGTTAAATCAACACTGAATTGTTAAAATGGCGTATACCACATTCAATACATGTATACTTTGTGTACAAGGTATTATGTGTATGAGTAATTATTTGATTGTTTTCTATGATACGCATCATTAAAGGCCTTGTCAAACAGAACGCGTTATTAACGTCGCGGTATTATCGTCGCGTTATTAACGCCTCCGCTAACGTTACATATGTCACACATAAACCAAAGCGTTGCGTCATGATAGGTTAATAGTAGTCGATAATAAGGTAGTATTGTTAGTACGTTTGCAAGGTATAGACGGTATAGTTGACAAAAATGTCCAGTAGTTCGAACGAAGAAGAACTTTTATTTTTATATGCAGTAGTTTAAAGTCAACAAAAGGGGAAGCGAATTTGGGTTCATTCAAAAAAAAGTGAAAATTATGGCAAATACCACCGTTTATGTCGTGAACTGGAGTCACATGAAGACCGTTTTTATTTGTACTTCCGCATGTCTCAGGATAGTTTTGAAGAATTGTACGAACTGATTTTACCAAGGATTGAAAAAAATAACGCTGTAACGCGCGTGATTTTGTAATTTTGTACAACGAGCCATGTTTAACAGCCGATGTGATTTGTAATTGAGTACAACACGACGATAATAACGCGTTCTGTTTGACAACGCCTTAAAAACTGTTTCGGCGTCTTCTCGCAAAACAGTTTTTTTTTTATTCCTGAAAATAGTGAAATTTGATAAGACGTTCTGTTAACGAAACACCGTCGGTATTTTAATTTATTTCTGTACGCAACGATAAACCATCGCTAACGAAAAACGATTCGGAGCGAAGTTTCCTTTAAATACCCCGTATAGGTAGGTACGTAAATTTTCCCGTTTTTCGCCAACTGTTATGAAAAATCGCTAAATGACCTCTCCAAAGTATCAACCGAATAACATTTACTTTCGGGAAATATGCGTCACGCGGTAAGCTTGATATTGTCGGAGCGAGATTTTCGGTAAGAAAAGTCGCCCACAGAACAGAAAAAACAAAAAAATAATACGAAAAACCACTGTAAAACGCTCCGTCATTCAAAACTACTGTTCGTACTGCAGTCGCGTACCGACCGCAGCAATTCCACCGTCTACACAATATGTACGCGAGGTATCATCGGACTTGTGCAACAGTCGTTCGGATTTCTACACGCACACGCACGCACACACGCACACACACACACACACACACGCACACACGCACACACGCATACGCACGCACATACACACACACACACTCGTGACGCGTAATATAATCCGTGGTTCTAAAACACAAGCGATGTATAGCGTGTTCATCCGACATGACGATCACATCCTCTTATAATTTTAAACGGCGATGGTTTACGTGCCCGAGCGCGCGTTTGCCTCGCATTATTATAAACAAAACGTCGTCGCCGTGATCCGCGGTTAATTGTATTAAATGTACAGTAGTGTACAGTACTCGCGCGTACGCTGTATAGCGGTTTGGCAAGGCAACACGCCCGGTTATCGTATAGCTATAGTGTATATAATTACAGTATATTATATGCTGCTATAACATCTACACAGTGCTGATATGTATATATATAGTGAATTCGATTGATGTTTTTTTCTGATCATTATTGAATCGTTAAAACCTTGTTTTAAAACCATTTTTAATTTTTACCGCTACTCCATTGTGTTCATCAAATAAGTACATACTTTCGATTTTCGAATAGGAACGCCTCCCCTTTCGAACACAGATTTGAACAGGGAATATTTTTCTAGAAATTTCGATATGCATAACACTAATATCAGAATTACCGTTTATGAGTTATAACAGTTTAGACCGGAGAAATTGGGAAGGGTAATGATAGGCAATTTATTACACTTCCCTACTCCTATAATATGGTAACGTATATTATAGTATGTTCGGATTATATTCCATATGCGCGATAAATTAAAAATAGGCACGTTACTCCGAATTTTTGTAATATAAACATAATTCGTCCCAGTGTGTGTGTGTGTGTGTGTGTGTGTGTTGTGTGCGGACAAAAAACGGATTTGTACGATTAAAACACGTTTTTTCTAAAAGAGAAAAGAAATATATAATCTGCTCATACATTATATATATATATATATATAATAGGAGGTGACAGAAATACGCCCTGGAAATCTATTGAATATATTATACGTAATGCCATACCAATTACTAAAATATGCTTTAAAAAAAGTTCTACGCTCAGAATCTGAAATACAGTTTAAATAATAGAAATTTTAGATTTGTAATTTTTTTCCGATGTTATTTTATTGAACAATATTAATGAATTGATTACACTTTGAATTTAAGACAATATTAGTATTTTGTGAAAACTACAGGTTTCTACAATAATTTTTAACCGAATAACAACAAAGATTCCAGTTTTATAACAGTTCACTATGCAACATTTTCTACCTTTTTCCCTGGTTTTTTGTAATTATTAGGAAAATTATACGGAAAATCAAACGATGACTTTTTTATTCGCAAACTAGATAAAATTTTCTTTCAGAAAACATGCTATTTATGAAATTCAAACAATGATTTATGGTAGAAAATTTAATCTGAAACATTTGAAATAATGAAATCGTTGTGCCGTAATTTGAAAAAAAAATCGTATTTTTTTTCGTTTTTTGTTTATTCCCAAAAAATTTGAAAACTATTTTAGATAGCAAAAAAACGAATTTCTCCAACAGTGGCTATCTATTAAGAGGAATAAATTTAATGTCTTGTCATTTTTCAAATGGAGCTATATTTATGATAGAAAACATCGTATATTATACAAATTTAAAATAATGAAATCGGTAACATCGCGGCGCGCCGTAAATATTTGCTGTTTTTTGATTATTTTTTTCCAAGTTTTCTCAGTTATTATGAAAACCCTTTGGAAAATCAAAAAATAATCTTCTCAATGCATCAACTAAAGAAAATTTCTTTTCAGATAAAGTGTTGCACTTGATAATTTGAAGCAAGATTTCTGATAGAAAAGTTGTTCAAATACAGAAAAAAAAAAACACATCATAGTAAAACTAATAGATCCCTCATTACACTCCGAATCTAAAATATGATCCGTCACAGTATTTGAACCTATGAACCTTACAAATATATACTAATTTGGTATCTATTATTGAGGTCATTTATTCTGGTTTTTTTGTCCATATAATATACTAACGCAACAATATTATTCTATTTGTGGACAGTAAAATATGTCAACGTAAAAAATTTCATGTAGTATATTATAGTATACTATACATTGTAATTTGCATATAAATTGGATACATTTTTTTTTTGAACGACGAACTAGTCTTACGTCGAAACGGCGACGGTGACTTATCTGAATTCAAGTAAAAAAGTGCAGACTACAATAAATAATATATCGCCGTATAATTGATATCGAAGTCAATTTATTTTTTGTTTGAAAATTACATAATAATAAAAGAATAAAAAAAAATGATCACATTTAATTAAATCAATGTCATAATATAGGTCATCTAAATGTTAAGATATCTACTAATTAAAGTAAAATTATTATTATATTTACTAATCTTTTAGATTTGTAAATTGCATAAACATTTAAACCTATTTGGAATAGCGAAAAAATATAGTGTAATAACAATTATACCTATACACAGTAGGTAATTATAATTATGGTTATTATTTATTAGTTTACAAAAAAATTATGTAATATGCGTGCACGTGGAGTACCCAAAATAAAAAGTTAAAAAATGATAAATTATTTTCGTGTAGTAATATTATACAGAGCGATCAATAATAATAACTTGACGAGTGTCGAACGTATAACACACTCATTATCTCGGAGAATATTAACTTTTTACGGATTTTTTTTTGGAAATTTAAGAAACAAGCAGCTTTAAAATTCCACGTTACCCTTATTTTTTCCACGTTTATATAATTTTATTTTAAATAGATTTCAATACCAAATTAAGCTAAATTTTTATCTATTTACGGAATTTTTAATACAGGTTGCCATTTAAAAATCAAAATGCGGTTTCACGTCTAAAGATAAGGGTGACAAAAAAGGGTAATGTAACTAATTTAGACCCGCTTGTTTCTTAAATTTAATAAAAAAAAAAAGTTTATACTCATCTACTTCCCGAGATAATGAGTTTTACTTTATATCACCCGGTATACCTACTGGTAAAGTTGGTAGACAGATACCAATTTTAAAATTGATTTTTGGCAAGCCATTTAATGTCTTAATAGAGAAATAATTTAATTTAAAAAAGTAAAAGTGGTATTACAAATGGATTAGTACGCTTGATCGATACAACAATAATAATAAGGTAGGTATTGAACTATTGAATAAGCTTTCACTGCTTGTGAAACGTTTTGTTTTAAAACCGATCGACGCGATAATCGAACGACTAAAATAAAAATATTCTGCTTGCGATATTCTTCGTATTGTCTGGTTGACCCTCAACAGCCACAT